GCCAAGATGAATCCTCATGACATCATTTGGGTCCCCACTCAGGCCCTTCCTCAAGTCAGATCCATTTCTAGACTTTCAATTACCTAAGCCAACACTTTTACTTTCACTTAGGATAGTTTGAACTTGGGTTTTCTGTCACTTGCAAGCAAAAGAATCACCCTAGTACCCTTTCTAAACATGTTTTATTTTACCGAGCTATATTCATCTGTATTTTCTGTCCTTTGTTCTATTCTGCTCTCTAAAATAAAACACTCCTGAGGCTGGAGTTCTTGACAAAAGTACTCCGTATTAGGTAGAACACAAGATCCAGTTTTCCTAATGCCACAGATCAGGTGATTTGACCTACTATCAAATTTGTTTTAAAAACTGTATTTATTTATTTTTTTAATCCTCACCCGAGAATATGTTTTTATTGATTTTTGAGAGAGAGGAAGGGAGAGGGAGAGAAAGAAACATCAATGTGAGAAAGAAACATCGATTGGTTGCCTCCCCTACACACACCCGACTGGGGATCGAACCCATACCCTGGGTATGTGCCCTGACTGGGAATCAAACCAGTGACCTTTCGTTGTATGGGAGGACGCTCCAATCAACTGAGCTGCACCAGCCAGGACTCAAAAAACCTTATTTTTAACCAAAGCAGCTGGGTCTGCAGTTTTCAGCTTTGTAAGGAAAGCAACTGTGACATTTATTTTTGCTCAGTCTTCTTCATTTTCATTTAATACTAAATCCAAACCACTATAAAAATTATTAAATGAAGAACAGAATTGAGTTTTTTAAATATTTTAAACACAAGCAGCAAGTATCATTTCTTCCTCGTAAAAAGGAACTAAGCCTTAACTTTACTTACTAATTTTGGAAACAAAACAAACCAGTATACAGTTTGAACCACATTCATTAAACTATTTGTTGCACTAAATGGCATTCCTTCTCTGTAGTGACTTCAGACCAATCCTCACAAGCGCCTCAGATTTCAGAGGAAAGCACTACTGCTCACCCAGATACTGCCTCCTACTGCGGTGAGTGGAATTCCAAGTGATGTCAGACGGCTCCTGAGGCAATGTGGAAACATTAGCAGGACCTCATGCATTTTCACATTTATTACACACAGCTAAATAACCAAGCTGGGCCAACTGCGTTTCCTTTTTATCTGTCCAAAGACAGTCTGGGGTGGTGAAGGGGCAATCCTTAGCCTATGTCCACCCATAAGACATACCTCAGCATATATGAAAATGCTGAGTTAACATGATGTTTAAAACCAGTTCTATGTTCATTAAAATGCCTTCTATAGGCTCCTATTAAGAAGACAAACTTTTATGACCTCAAGCAAGCAAACAGATAAGAACACCAACAAAGACACATTTGTTCTACTATATTCAAAACTTTTTTACTTTGCGTGCTGTTCTTTCTGTCGAGGTTTATTGTTTATTATGAAAGTGGCCTAAGATGGGGGTCTGTCGTCTTGCTTTGGTAAGCACTTCAAAGCTCACAGCCCTATCCAGACATGCTAGCTCCCAAACAGACTGGTGTTACTACATGTAAACAACGACCTTCAAACACAAAGTCATTTCTATGCACATCATACTACATACACTTTATAAGTGAAGTAACCATTAGATTATGTAAATAAGAATTAATTCTATTTCTAAAATCAATAAATATAGCCAATATATTAGCTTAAAATTGAAGATTTGGTAATTCTATTCATATTACACATCTGCTTTGATTCATAGAAAGCACAATCCCAGAATGGAACTTCAACTTCATAGGAGCCTCTTGTAAATTCCTTAGGGGCAAGAATCATATCTGCTATCGCTATTTTGTGCCTGACATATAATAGACTCTATAAAAATTTGTTGACTAGTAAATGAATAAATGATGGTATTAACACTAAAATGAATGGGATCAGACTATTTTATGACTACAAAAATTACTATGTCTTTGCTTTTATGAAGTAAAGCAGGAGTTGGCAAACTTTTTTGTAAAGGGACAGATGGTAAATATTTTTGGTATTGTGGATCACTGTTGCAACTACTCAACCCTGATCTCTTTTGCAACTAAACAACAGCTGTTATACCACAAAAGCGGACATAGATAACATATAAACAAGTGAGCATGATTGTGTTTGAATAAAACTTTATTTACAAAAGCATCCATAATCCATAAAAACATTCAAATCCCAAGGGAAACACTTTCTTACAATGAACACTATTCCCTAAAGACTGGAAATTGGTTAACTTGCTAAAGTCAGCCAGACATGTTTCATTGGGTCAAAAATTGGCCAAAGTATATATACTCATTCTCTTTAGTGCCATCACTCCTTACTAAACAACCTGCATGTTACAAGCCTGGCCCATGCAAGCCTTTGAATTTACTTTCTGAATTCTACAGTACAAGTGGTTTCCAAGGATGTGGCCCATATCCATCCCTGTGAAACTATAACCACAACACAGGCTCCTCAAAGCCCACAACTCTGCCCTTCATCAAACACAGGGGTGGGGAACATCCGGCCCGTGGGCCTATATCATTTGGTTTGGCCCTGCCAAGGCATTAGGGGTGAGTTAATTAAATGTTTGACCAAACATAGCAGGCTAATTTTTAAGTTGATAATTTTGTATGGCCTGAGAATGATGTTATAAAATATCCAAATGGCCCTATCTAACAGCTAATCCCAACACCTAATGACTTTAATTATCCACTGACTGCCTGATATTTGGTGTGTTCTGCACTGTCTCCTCGAAGGGGCTGTATAAGAGTGAAAAGGGCAGAGAAGGGCATGGAGAAAACATGTGCCAGCAGGAACATGGCCAGTCCCAGGAAAAGCAGCAGTCATTACAGGACTGAAAAACAACACACATCTCCCAACTGTATCTCAATCTTCTCTGCTGCCTGGATTTCTCCTTCATATCACAGCAGAGCTGGGCAGAGAGAGGACAACCGGGACCACCTCCATTGTAACCATAATGAGGATAAAACCTTGTTTATTCTCCATTTTTGCTGGAGGATGTTCTGGGTGGGTGAACACAAAAAATTACCTGCATCTAACAGAATAAATACACTGTTGTATTCCCCTATGATGGAATGCTCAATAGTAATAAAAATAAGCAATCTATAACTATATGCAACCAAGTGGAGGAATCTCTCCAATACATTGTTGAATGAGAAAAGCCAGACACAAAAAGTACAATTTGCATATATATCACAGAGAAAGAAAAAGAGAAAGAAATAGCAAAATGAATTAATGCTCCTAGAAATCAAGAGGAGCTACCCATGGAGTGGGGTGTCTAGAGGAAGCATGTTTCTTAATCTGGGTGCTGGTTACATGGGTGAGTTCAGTTTGTAAAATTATATTGAGCTGCACACTTACAATATATTTTTTGTATGTATGTTCTATTGTAATAGACAGTAAAAATAATTACCCCTTATCTAAGTGGTCCAGGGCCAGAGAGCCAGTTGAAGGCCCCAGATAGGGCCCCCACATCCTTCCCCTTGACCATGTCCTTCAAGTCTTCTGCCTCATAGGGAGCCCCACTCAACTCCTCCTTGTCTTTTCCAAGTATAACCAGAGAGGCCAAAGGGCAACACAGCCCACTAGATCGTTCTGAGATGCCTGCAATTCCAGTCAGAGTCCTTCAGAATGGCAGTGTCTTTTGAAGGAACTTTACTGCTGTCACTACCTTTGTCTTCTAAATGAGACAAGAGGCTATAAGAAGTCTCTGCTGCCGTAATTGGCTCGTTTAAATGGACTGCTTTTAAAATGATGTCCTAAATGGGCAGGTCTAGTTTATAAACATCTATGAAGGAATGCTTAGATGCTCAGGGACCACTTGAGGAAGATGCCATAAATAAAATGTAACAGAGATTAGAATGCAAGACAGTTGACATCCTTCCTGCAAGAACCACGGAGCTGTAATAACTGATTGTGCAATGGGCCATAATGGGTAATGTATAATAATCTATAATTATAACCATAGCTGAACACATCTTTAAGATTTTATGTAACGTCTCAATGCAGGGAGTCAAATTATGGGCTGAGAATCATTTTTTAATCACTCTAATGTTAATTTTAATATAATCACTAATATTCTTTATACATTCTCCTAATAATTTCAGGTTAAAAAATCAATTAAGACCTTTGATCACATTAGATCGCAGAGACTGTAAATGCTGATCAGGAAAAAGCAGGAGTGGTAATCAGATCCACTGACCCAACAATAGATGTCACCACAGTGGGCAGATGGGCGGATTACAGGGAGTGAAGAAAGCACAGTGATCCCCTCCTGTTCAGGTCCAGGTGTGGTACCAATTCCAATCCTCCATATTCAGACGCTTCTCAGAACAAACAAATTTGTACTGCATATCTGTCTATTAAATAAACCACTGCTTAAAGCTGTTTTAAAATCTGACTTTATTTATATCAGCTATTACACCTTTTAATAGGAAATTATAACTTCACTTAATTAAATTATTCTATGTCACATAGTTTATAAATGCTCTAAAATGGCTCTCAGAAAAGAATATCCTTATTTTTAAGAGTCTTATTCTCAAGAATTTAGGATAATGTGTCATGATGGCTGTAATTTGCACATTTCAGCAGAAAAATATACAAACCTACACACACACACACACACACACACACACACGTGGCAAAATGCCAACAACTGTTAAATGTAGGTAGTGAATACATAAGAATTCCTGCATATTCTTTTAACTCAGTGGTTCTCAACCTTCCTAATGCCGCAACCCTTTAATACAGTTCCTCATGTTATGGTGACCCCCAATTTCATTGTTACAAATTGAACATAATTAAAGCATAGTGATTAATCACAAAAACAATATGTAATTATATATGTGTTTTCTGATGATCTTGGGTGACCCCTGTGAAAGGGTCGTTCGACCCCCAAAGAGGTCGCGACCCACAGGTTGAGAACCACTGTTTTAACTCTTCAGTATGTCTGAAAATTTTCATAATAAAAAGTTGCATATAAATGTCTACTTACCTTTTAAGAGGAAGCTGTCTTCTTTCTCCTAATCAAAAATGAATGCTAACTATGCCCAAAGGCGCACTCAGGTCACTCATGCTGCCCTCACCTGCAAGAATAAGCAAAACAACTTGTTATCACCAAAGATTTGCATATTAATGCTACTTCACCTGAGAACATATTCTCAATATAATGGCAAGTCTGTAGATCAGTGGTTCTCAACCTTCCTAATGCCACGACCCTTTAACACAGTTCCTCATGTTGTGGTGACCCCCAACCATAAAATTATTTTCGTTGCTACTTCATAACTGTAATGTTGCTACTGTTATGAATCGTAATGTAAATATCTGATATGCGGGATGTATTTAGGCGACCCCTGTGAAAGGGTCGTTCGACCCCCAAAGGGATCGTGACCCACAGGTTGAAAACCGCTGCTCTAGATTAAAACACTGCTGCAACTATTTGTTTTTAGCAAGGAAAAAAGTGAAAAGAGAAAAGAATGATCCCATCACATACTGAATGTAGGGAACAACTGTTAACCTTACCCACCCTGCAAATGTTTGGAACAAAGGAATTCCTCAGTAAGTTTCTTTTAATTCACATCGATTTCAGGGCAGTGACGTAGTCCAAACTCGATTCAAACAAAAACTGGAGCTTCAAGGACCTGAGCTTCGCTCTGGATTTCTGAGACCACACCTAGAAGGCATCCAAGGATGCTCTCAGAACCACACCAGAACCGCTGACCCGCCTGGAGTCCTTTCAGGCAAAGGTATTTGGACCCAATCTACTACTGTACTCAACTACTACTGTACTCAACTATAGAACATGCTATGGGGCACAGTGGGATGTGGCCTGCAAGTCATATTCCTGCTGCCACACCTTACATTTCAGCATTATCTCTTACAATGGGCCCTCCCCCACAGCCCTGTGAGGTAAGCAGTTTACTGATTCCATTTTCCAGAGGAGGCGGCTAAGTGTCAGAGAAGATGTACGACAAGAACATTCAACTAGAAAATATCAGAAATGAAATTCCAGCTTAGGTCTTCTGACCCTAAGCTCACCATACAGGTCATCCCTACCCCTTCTCACTCCCCCTCAACACCATGCTCTCCTAAAAGCCAACCTCAAAGCAAAATGGCCAAGCAGCACATTCACCTGCCAGTGGGGGATGAAGATGACAGTTTGTTCCCTGATAGTATATATAAATAATCATTCTTAACAGTCCCTTGGTACTATAATTTATGATTATCAACTACTACAATTACTATTAGTAATTATAGTTTCCTTTTAAACACAATAACCCTATTTTTCACATTATACACACACACACACACACACACACACACACACACACGCACACACATATAATTTTCCCCCTCCTTTCTCAAGAAAGCACACTGTTGGCCAATAGGAGTAAAACCAGCATCACATGGCACCCTTGGTGATTTTTATCTTTGCCACAACAAAAGGCAATAACTTGCCATTGAAGTTTTTGTAAAATGCAAAATACAATATATTATAATGGCATTGATATTGCTCCACTAATAAAGATGGAAGCAGCACCAAAAAAAAAAAAAAAAAAACGACAGCTGGGGAGAATGTAGTATCCCTATATGATTACCCAACGTGGCCTTTCATCTGTTGGTCACCAAAATTCCGCAAGCACAGAGGTTTAGAGGTATCAATGTCTAACCTCCACCTGTGAAGGTGCTGGCACACATGGGCCTGAGGAAAGCTGGCCAGGGAACCCCGCACCTGGCTGGCAGGCCTGTCTCTTCCATCCTCAGTGTGAGTAAAACTCCAGGGAACTTCTGCAAGCACCTCCTGGCCTGGGGGCTGGAACACCTGCTCACAGGAAAACTGAGACCCACAAAGGAGATAAATGTGGCTCCATGACTCACAAACCCAGCACGCTGACCCCAGGAAACCCACCAAGAAGTTATGCCAGGAGCTACACAAAACCAAGGGAAAAACATGATGTACCTTCGGAAACATCCATTTTACTCCAAGTTTTGGTGATGATAAGGAAATGAACCAGTAATTTAAAAGTTGTTAATAGTAAAACAAATATGCCTTGTGGAGTAGAATGTCACCGGACATGCATTTTTAACTAAAACTCCTTACATGCTTAATTCATTTCCGGCTCTTCCCTTACCTGTGGGGGAAGGGAATGGGGATGGACTCTCTCCTTTGTCATTAAAGGTGGCCTTGGGAGAACATGTGAAGTTGGCAGGGATTTTATATCACAGTGAGCCCAGAAAGCTACCAATAGCCCTTGGTCTGAAGAATTCTCTTCAAAATCAGGGATCCCAGATTTCTGCCAGATCTAGGTCAGGTAGACTGAAGGCGAGGCACACATACATAGTCCCCTCTCTACACCACACATCCTGGTGTAGGAATTCTGAAAGTGCCTCTCTTCACTGCCCTTCCCACCAGCTTCCAGGCCCCACCACACTCCTGCCCTCAGTTCCCGTTTACATCACTGACTTTCTTCAACCCCATCCTGACTACTGACACATTCAGCACTTACAGTAATTTTCATTTACATGGATGCTGCATCGTTACTAAAGAAAAATAAGCTTACCAGTTTAGTTTGCCTCTAAATACTTTTTATTGTAAAATATATTAAAAAGTGCATAACCATGGTAGCCAGCTCCCAAGGTGGCCCCCAATGATCCCGCCTCCAATATTCATGCTCTTGCGTGGTCCCCTCCCACAATGAATAGGCTGGAGTGAATAGCCAATAAGATGCTGGGGAAATGATGGAGTGTGACTCAAAGGCTCCGTGAAAGAGCAGCTTCCCTCTCTCTCTATCTTGGGAGGAAAGCTGGCTGCTGTTTCCTGCATTCTCAAGTGCTCTAAAGACAAGCCCATGTGCTGAGGAACTGAGCCTCCTGCAACAGCCAATGGGGGTGGCCTTCTTAGGAGCCCTCAGAGGATGGCTGCTTCAGCGATCTGGACTGCAACGCCATTGGGGACCCCAAATTACAACCACCCAGCCAAGCTGCTCCAGACTTCCTGACCCACACAGAAACTGTGTGAGATCATAAATGCAACCGTGTTTTAAACTGCTGGAGATACAACATGTCAGATTAAAGAACAATAAAATATACCCCATGTACCTAATACCCAGTTGATGTTGCTGGGGTTTGGGTTGTTTGTGTTTTAGAAGACCTACGTGCTCCTCCCTGATCACCTCTCCCTCTCTACCCACCTTGCCCTGCCTCCCTGCACAGATAACCACCAGCCTGAATTCTGAGTTAATTATTCCTTTGTTCCTCTCTGTAATTTTACCACATATGTATTCTCAATACACGGTTGCATTTTGCCTGGTTGTAAGGCTAATGTAAATGAAACAGACTATACATATTCTTCTAATACTTGCCCCTTAAGAGTTTGAGATTCATCCCTGTTGACTCCTGTGGCTGTAGTAGATTTTCACCACTATCTAGTTCTCATTGTATGAACATATCCACAATTTACTGCTCTGTTCTACTGCTGAGGATCATCTGGGGAGTTTTCAGTTTTTGCTGTATGAATAATGCTGCCATTTACATTCTAGTGCTCCTCGCCAGCAAGTTCCTCCAAAGGCACACACCTAGGAGAGGGGAGCTGGGCTTGGGATTGCAATGCTCAGCTCTCCTAAGGAGTGTCCAACCGTCTTCCAAAGTGGTTGTGTACAACTGACTCTTAAGCCGCCTTTCTAGTCTCTCTCCAAATAAGAGGCGTGCCTGTTTTGCTAATTACCAGTAAAGCTTTCAATCAACAAAGGGAAAGCTTTTCTTATTTGCAGCATCACTACTGCAAATAAATAGTACTCCAAAGCAGTGACCCAGACAGCTGGAACGGATTAGTCACAGGACATCAGTACAGACTTCAGAATAATGATGCAGACCCGGCCAGCACCACACACTGCCCACAGGGACAAGTCAAATTAGATATCTAGACTGACATTAAATTCAGACTGCTTTCCTCCCAGCGACTCACATCCATGGTCCCCTCTTATTATTGTCATCTCGGAGGGGGGAAAAATTAACTTGCATGCAACCCGGCAAGTTAAGATTAAAGCAAGAAAGTCAAATTACTTCAATGAAATTGTATTTGGGGGATTTTTTTTTTAACAGAGAGCTGGTTATGTTTTTTATGTTTTCATCTATAAGATGAGATTTTCATTTACTATATCTAATTTTATGTGTAGTAATTCTACAAAAAGTATGTATTGTCTACACAAATAGATGTTCTTTTATATTTAGTTCATTCAATTTCTTAAGTGGCAACAGTAATATTTATGATAATGCATCTGTATTTCAAGTAAAAACAATATTAAACATTATGTGGCATCAAATACAAAAAATAATAAATTACTTCAATTGGAACAGGAAGGAGAGAAGAAATACACTGTAAATTTCAATGAGGTTCATATCATGTCACTGAAAAAAAACAACAAAAAATAATGGCACTAGATGACCACAATGAGGTCATTTCAACCCAACCTCTTGACAGTTCTTATTTGTCTGTATACAATCATTTCTCCCCGTGAGGCAGGAACTATTATTACACCCTTTTTCCAGATGGAGAAAACTAAGGCACAAAAAGCAATTAAGTGTAAACAATCACACAGCTGATACGCTAGAATAAGGAATTGAACCCAGGAGGCTTATTCCAGAATCCATATTCTTAAACACTCTTCTGAGCAGTTTCTTCAGCCCCCCAAGAGCAGCCAGAGGCCCTGAAATGGCAGCTACCAGTTACTAAGCACCTACAACATGCCAAGCACTTTTTAAGTGCTCTATTGCATTATTTCAAATCCTCCCCACATCTCCACCAGGCATGTATTCTCCCTATTTTATAGTTGAAGAAATTTAGGTCCTGGGAGTTTAAGTAATTTGACCAAAATCACATAGGCAATAAAATAAAATGGTGGAGATCCCACTTGAACCTTGTAGAGTTCATGTGCTTTCTACAGTGGGCCTTCTGGAACAAATAAAATTATCCTATCTGAGGATGTGTGGTAGGCAAGTTTGACCTTAGGTCCTAAAAAAGGCCCTCTGAAGGAAACAGATGCCACACTGAGAGAAGGTGTGCTGGCCTTCCTGGTGAGCAGCAGTG